CACCGTGCGCTGCGACACCTTGTAGCGGGGCCGGAGGAAGCTGCGGTACCTGCCGGGGGACGGGACGGGGCTGGGGGCGCCGGGAGGGGCGGGGGACTGCCCCGGAGAGCCGGAGCCAGCACGGGCTGCGGCTTCACCCCGCGCTCAGCGGCCGGGGGGCTGCCCTGCCCAGCTCTGTCTCCCTGCACCGGTCCCAACACCACCCCCGGGCCATCGCAGCGCTGGCCAGAGAGCCGCGGGGTGCCCCAGGGCTCTGCTGCAGGTCACGGGGGACAGTGTCACCCTCCGGTCACCCTCCGGCCCCGAGAGCCGCGGGGTGCCCCAGTGCTCCGGCCGCCCGTGACGGCGGGGGACAGTGTCCGGTCACCACTTGAGGTCGCTGACTCTTGTGCAAAAGCAAACATGACCCCGGGCTGGGTAAACACCAGCGGCGGCGGCGCGGCCCTGGCTCTGTGCTGGCCCCCCAGAAGGCCCCGAGCCCCCCAGAGCCCTCCCGGCCCCACTCACGCCAGGACTCGGGGGCACTGGAGCTGCCCCCAGGGGCAGGGCTGATAGTCCGGCTTGATGAAGCTCTCGACGCCATCCTCCACCACGCAGCTCACGCTGCGGGTCACCACGTAGGCACACCAGTTCCTGCCGGAGGGAGCGGGTCAGGGCACGCAGCCGGGGGCGCTCGGTGCCACCCCGGTACGCACCGGGCACCGTCCTGGTACGGACCGAGCACGGCACACGCCGGGCACCATCTGGGCACCACCTGGGCACACACCGCGCGCTGTCCTGGCACCCGGGAGGCATCATCCCGGCACACAGCAGCCCCTGGAGCCGCCCTGGCACGGAGCTAGCATCATCCCAGCACACAGCGGGCGCTGTTCCAGCACACCCCGTGCGCAGCATCCCGGCACACGCCGGGCATTGTCCTGGTGTACAGCAGGCGCCATGCATGACCCCGGCAGAGCCACAGCAACGCCCCCTGCCCCAGGCCTTCCGTGGCACCCTGCAGCTCCCCGGGCATCCCCCGCATCCCCCAGCACACCGCGGCCCCTCCGGCCGCACCCCGCATCCCCCGGCGCGCTCCCGTGCTTGCCCAACCAGCCCCACCGGTAGCACCGTCACGGCCCGGTGCGGGTTAATGGGCCGGATCCTGCCCCAGCACGGCCTCAGCCGTGCCTGGCCACCCCTGCAGCCCCGGCTGCAGCCCCCAGCCCTGGCTGCCCCACAGGGATGGGCTCTGCCGGGAGCAGGGTGCCCACAGCCCAGCGCACCGTGCCGTGCATCCTGCCCGGCCCAGGGAGGGACCCTGAGCGCTGCCCCGTGTGTGACCCCCGTGTGCTGCCCCATGTGTGACCCCCGTGTGTTCCTGCCCCTCCGTGCTGCCCCATGTGTGACCCCCGTGTGTTCCTGCCCCTCCGTGCTGCCCCATCAGTGATCCCGTGTGTTCCTGCCCCTCCGTGCTGCCCCGTGTGTGACCCCCGTGTGTTCCTGCCCCTCCGTGCTCCCCCATGTATAACCCCGTGCGTTCTTGCCCCTCCGTGCCCCGCGGCAGCCCCGCTCCGGTGCCAGTGCACGCCCCAGGCTGCGGGACGCCCCCAGCCCCCCCGCGTGGGACCGCAGCCTGGCCCCGCTGCCGGGACCCCGTCCTCGCAGCCTTATATGGTCGGGCCCCGCAGCCCGGGCCCCGCTCGGGCCCCCGGCCCCACCGGGCAGCCCCCGGGGAGCGGCCCCCGGCGCTGGGTCCCCCCGCGGGGCCCCGGTGCGGCGGCCGGTTCCCGTCAGCCCGGCTGGTTCCCCTCAGGCCCCGGCTGGATTCCAGCTCCTCCCCGGGGGCCGCCGGGAATTCCTGCGCCGACCGACGGCGCCTCTTCTCCCCCATCCCATCCCAGCCCCGCGCCCGCGAGGCCCCGCGACCCCCGGGCTGCCCTGGGGTCCCACGCCCCGCTCCGGGGCTGTCCCCATGCCGGGCGAGGGATGGGACAGAGCTCCCCTAAAGGGGCAGGGTCTGGGGGCGCCCCCGCGCTCCCCGAGCCGCGGGGATGGAGCGCCGCACGCCCCGACCCGTGCAGAGCCCCCCGAGCCCCCCGAGCCCCCAGAGCCGCACGGAAAGGCTCCACCGTGCCCGTGCCCCACGGCCGGACCGGAGCCCCCCTCCCCGGGCTGCCCGCGCTGCGGCCGGTCCCGCCATCCCCCCGGGGCCGCCGCGGGGCCGGGGCAGTCCCAGCGCTGCGGCCGCGCCGCTGATGTGTCCGCGGTGAATGCGCCGTGACCCCAGCCCAGAGTGGGGCCGCCCCCAGCCCCGCAGCGCCCCGAGCCCGGCCCCGCGCTGCCCGCGGTCCGGGACGGGCAGAGGGCGGCTCCGGGCCCGGTGCCCCTCTCCGGCACCGCTGACCCACGCGGGATGCCGAGCAGGGACCGGCCCGCCATCCCGGCCCCGCTGCACCGGCGCCCCCGACCCTCCACGTGCGCCCACTGCCCGCCCTTGCCGGGCCCGGGGGTGACGCCCCCGCCCCGGGGACCCCCGCCGGTCCCACCGCCCCCGCGCTGGACGTGGCACGTGCCGGTGCCTGCCCGGCGCCGGGGCTCCCGTGGCAGCGGGGTGGGGGCTGCACTCCGTGTCCCCGCCGCCGCCCGGTGTGTCCCGGTGTGCCCCGGTGCGTCCCGGCGCTCGCGGCTCCTACCTGTGCCGGCTGGCGGCCCGGGCACCGCTGTGGGCCGCGGCCGGGCCGGGGGCGAGCGGGGCGGCCCCGCCGGTGTAGAGGCTGTACCGGGGGGGGAAGTTGGCGGCCAGGGCCTGCGCGGCCAGGAGGCACGGCCAGAGCCACGGTGCCATGCCGGGCCGGGCTGGGCCGGGCCGGGCTGGGCTGGGCCGGGCCGGGCTGGGCTGGGCTGGGCTGGGCTGGGCCGGGGCGGCTCCGCTCCGCTCGGTTCGCTCAGCCCGGGCCGGCGCGCCTCAGCACCGCATGCGGCGTCCCGTCGCGGCTCCGCAGCTCTGGGCGGCTCGGCACGGCTCGGCTCGGCTCTGCCCTCCCCCCGGCCGCCCCTCGGCCAGCCCCTCGCCACCGGGGCCGCCCAGAGCCGCTGCCCGCCGCCGGGGTCCCCGGGGCCCCCCGCTTCCTGCCCGCCGCGCCCCCGCCCCGGCCGCGCCGGGCACCGCGGCCCCGCCGGCCCCGCCGCCGCCACATCTGCTCCTCGTTAGGCCGGCCCGGGGCCGGGGCAGCCGGGGAGGCCGGGCAGGGGGCCAGGGAGCGGGCGGCCGGCGAGGCGGCCGCGGCTACCGCCGCCGCACCGGCCCCGTGCCGCGGCCATCCGTGCCCTGCGGCCGCCGCTGGCACCGGCTCCGCCACCGGCTTCGCGCCGTGCCCCGCGAACCGCCGACCGCCGGTGGCCTCGGTGCTCGGCCCGCGCCGGGCACGGCGGCCACAGGTCCCGGCACCGGCACCGCAGCCTGCAGTGCCACGTCCCCGCGTGCCCGTGAGCCCGTGCCAGGGGACACGCCCCGGTGCCAGCACCGAGCCCGGGGCTGCCCCGCGCCCCCGGCCGCACCCCCGGGGACACCGTGCTGGGGACACCGTGCTGGGGACACCGGGGACACCGGGGACACCGGGGACACCGGCACGGCAGCGGCCACCCCGCGGCCACCCCGGGCCGCCGCGGCCCCGAGCCCACGGTGATGATGCCATGGCTTCCCCGGCCCTCGCGGTGACGACACGGCCGCACGGTGACATCACGGCTTGGCGGCAGCCCCGCGGTGACGTCAGGCGCGGGAACCCCCCGCCTGCGGGGAGCGAGGGTTAAGCACAAACAGCTGGCGGCAGCTGGAGGGGAGGGACCGCGGGGGAGGGAGGGGGGGACACACCGGGGCCGAGGGGCCCGGGCCGGGCCTGGCCCGAGGGGGACGGTGGCACCGCCTCCGGGCTCTGGGGGCCGTGGGGGGATGTGGGGGACGTGGGGGGACATGGGGGGCCATAGGGAACTATGGGGGACCATGGGGAGCCATGGGGGGCTGCGGGGGCCATGTCTCTGCCGTGTCCCAGGGGACTCCAGACCGCGCTGGGGCTCTGTGGCCGAGCGTGGGGGGCGCAGGGATGGGCCCGGGGTGCGGGCAGGGCCCCGGGGGTCTCGCTGCTGGGACCCCTCGTGGGGGGACCATCAACACGATGGGCTGCCAAGACCCCGCAGGCCACCGCAGTGTGACCCACACATGGCAGTGTGACCCACACACCGCAGTGTGACCCACACATGGCAGTGCAACCCACACACCGCAGTGTGACCCACACATGGCAGTGTGACCCACACACCGCAGTGTGACCCACACATGGCAGCACACCCCAGCTCCGTGTGGCCCGGCGTGCCTCCAGTACGGCCCGGTACAGCCCAACACAACCCAGTACGGTCCAGTACAGCCCAACGGCTCCCACTATAGCCCAGTACGGTCCAGCAGCTCCCAGTACAGGAAAGTACAGCCCAGCACAGCCCAGTACAGCCCAGTACAGCCCAGTACGGCCCAGTACGGCCCAGCAGCTCCCAGTGCACCCAGTACGGCCCAGCAGCTCCCAGTACAGCCCAGCACAGCCGGGTACAGCCCAGTACAGCCCAGCAGCTCCCAGTACAGCCCAGTACAGTTCAGTAGCTCCCAGTGCAGCCCAGCACAGCCGGGTACAGCCCAGTACGGCCCAGCAGCTCCCAGTACAGCCCAACAGCTCCGAGTATGCCCCGGTATGTCTCTGCACAGCCCAGCGCAGCCCGTCCCGCTGCGGCCCCGCGGCCCCGCCCGCTGTCAGCAGCTGCAGCGAGCTGTCATTAGGCTCATTAGCGCTAATTAGCGGCGGCCGCCCCGGGGCCGCCCGGCCCCGCCCCGCCCTCGCGCCGCGCCTTGTATGGAGACGGAGCCGGCGGCGGCCGCCAGGGGGCGGAGCGTGGCGGTGACGTCACCGCGACGGGGCGGGGCCGGGCGCCGTGACGTCACGGCAGCCGCGAGCCCGCCGCTTGGCCCGGGCCCGGTTGCCGTGACGTCACCGCCGGGGCCGGGCGCCTCCCGCCGTGCCCCGCGGCCGGAAGTGGCGCGTGCAGGGAGACGTGTCGGAGCGGCGGGGCCGGAGCGTGAGCGCGGGACACCGGGGGGAGAGCGGGGCACCGGGGGGACCGGGAACCGGGGGGAGAGCGGGGCACCGGGGGGAGAGCGGGCAGGAACGGGAACCGGGGGGAGACCGGGACACCGGGGGGAGAGCGGGCAGGAACGGGAACCGGGGGGAGACCGGGACACCGGGGGGAGAGCGGGAACCGGGGGGAGAACGGGGCACCGGGGAGACCAGGCCGGAACGGGAACCGGGGGGAGGGCGGGGCACCGGGGGGCCCGAGCAGGGGCGGGAGCCGGGACACCGGGAGGCCCGGGCAGGGGCGGGAACCGGGGCACTGGGGGCCCAGACAGGAGCGAGAACCGGGACACCGGGGGCCCGGGCAGCAGGGGCGGGAGCCGGTCCGTGCCGGTACAGCCGGTCCCCCCGCGGGATGCCAGCGTGCCCGTTCCCCGCCCGCAGGATGATCACGGACGTGCAGCTCGCCATCTTCGCCAACATGCTGGGCGTCTCGCTGTTCCTGCTCGTCGTGCTGTACCACTACGTGGCCGTCAACAACCCCAAGAAGCAGGAGTGAGGATCCCGGGGAGCCCGGAGGATCCCGCCCCGCCATGGCCCCGCGGCGCCGCCGCTCCCGCCCGCCCCGTCCCGCCCTCCCCGCCTCCCTCCCGCGGGGCCGCCCCGAGAGGCGCGAGCCCGAGCTTCTTCCAAACCGGCTTTAACGGAAACACGCTGATACACGACAAACCCGCGTGGCGTTGTGACCGACCCCCGGCGCCGGGCGGGCTCAGCGCAGCAGCAGCGGCGCCGCGGGCAGCAGCCGGGCCAGCGGCGATCGGTGCCGCGGGGCCCCGCGCGGGGACAGCCCCGGCGCCGAGCAGGGCCGCAGCGGCTCCGCCGGCGCCGCCGCCGCGGCCCGGTACGGCGGGGCCGGAGCTCGGGGCGCCCCCAGCACGGGAAGGGTCCCTCGGTGCCCGGCGCCGTCGCGGGGGGCGCGGGAGCCTCGGGGCAGAGCCCTGCAGGACAGAGAGCAGGGTCGGTGGGCACGGGGTCGGTGGGCACGGTGCTGCGTGCCCACCCAGCGCCCCCTGCCTGCAGGGGTTCCGGGGTGAGCCCAGAGCTGGCAGCAGCACCTACCCGGGCCTTCCTGGGGCTCTCCGGGCATTCAGCTTCACTGGGAGCACCTGTGGAGGGGGAAAAGGGGATCAGTGCCAGGCCTGTGTCCCCCTTTTCTTGGGGAAAGGGGTGTGGGACAGAAGTGCCTGGCAGAGCCCCTCAGCTGGGGAGGCTCCCAGACCCACAGGGGCTCCCAGCCCGTGGGGCAGCCCCCCAGAGGAGCCGTGGGGCACAGCCCCTGCTGCACCCCGGGTCCCTCCCTGCCGGTGCCCCCGGTACCTGCAGAAGCGTCCCGTCCTGGAGCTCCCGCTCGCCTCGCTGCGCCTCCCGTGATCCGTGGCTGGTGCTCAGCGCTGCCCGGGCACCCTTGGGCACGGCCCCTGTGTGACAGAGGAGAGAGCTCAGCGCTGCCGGCCAGGGCTCGGTGCCACGCTGGAGTCACCAGCTGGGCTGGGGCCGTGGTGGGGCACAGAGCACAGCCTGGTGGCATGGTGCTCTGCAGTGTCCCTCCCTGCCAGCTTTGCCAGGGCCAGGTCCTAGCACCGAGAGGTGGCCCTGGCAGTGGGCAGTGCCGGGGGAGGATGGGATGGGCACAGAGCTCAGTCCCAGCTCATGCTGGGCTCTGCTCCAGCCCAGCTCCTGCCTTGGTGTCCCATGGCACTGGTGTCACCATGCTGGCCAGCCTTAGCCAGGAGAGGGGAGCTGGGGGCACAGCTGTGCCCTCTGAACTGGGATATGTCCTGGGACATGTGCTCAGCCAGGGGAGCTGGGGGGAAAAAGGAAAAAGGAAGGTGTTTGGGGCCTGGCTGCAGTGACAGCACTGAAGGAACACACCTGAGTTGCCTCAGCTTCTGCTCACCTGGTTAAAGTCTTTATCCCAACCCAGTTACCTCTCCATCCCTCTGAAGAAGTGAGGTTGGGGGGCACAGTGCCCACTGGGGAGAAGCCAGGGCTGGGCTGCAGTGGGACACGGGGAAGGAGGGAGGGTGGCACAAGCGCAGGGCAGCAGGGTCTCTACCCTATCCCAGCTCTGGGCACCCTCAGCTCCTTCCCTGCTGCCTGGGGTGGCACAGCCAGCCTGAGGGCACCAGCACGGCCCCTGGAAGGCAAGGCCAGGGCTCAGAGTATCCCCCTGCAGACACAGCAGTGCTGGCAGTGCTGGGCCCCTCGGAGGTGGGGAGAAGGTGGTGGGAGAGCTGGGGGAGCTCTGGAGTGGCCAGGATGGAAGCAGGTCAGGCTGTGCCAGGGCAAGGGGAGCTCTGGAGTGGCCAGGATGGAAGCAGGTCAGGCTGTGCCAGGGCAAGGGGAGCTCTGGAGTGGCCAGGATGGAAGCAGGTCAGGCTGTGCCAGGGCAGGGGGAGAGGGGCAGGTCTGGAGTGGCCAGGATGGAAGCAGGTCAGGCTGTGCCAGGGCAGGGGAGGAAGAGCCGGGTCCTGGTCCCAGTGCCAGGCAGCAGCATGAGGGTGCAGTGTGCCATGGGGCACTCACTCTGCTGGAGGAGGCTGTGCCAGGGGGAGCACAGGAGGCAGCAGAGCCCAGCCAGTCGCTCCTGGGGACACCAGGCACCAGGCTCTGCCCCCAACGTGTCCCTTCAGGCAGGGATGGGGCCAGGGCTCGCTCCAGGCAGGCCTGGCCAAAGGAACAGACAGAACAACGTGCCCATGAGAACATCAGCCTTTTATTTCCTCCCCACCACGTTCTCATGGCAGACAAGACACAGTCATGACAGAGGGCTGGGCAGCAAACCCCGAGCACAACACGACTGACGGACACCAGAGGAACACGGCTCAACACAAGCACAGCTTCGGGCACACAGGGGGCACCAGCTTACAGCCCTGGGCACTGGGGGCTTTGGAGCAGGGCTGAGCCCCACAGTGGATGTGGGCACAGGGCTGTCACTGCCTGCCCCCCATGGCCCTGAGCCCCTGCCCCACGGTGGCAATGCCAGCACAGGGGGCACAGCCAGTGTCCTGCCTGACCGTGTACCCCGCTGCAGCACATCGGCCCCCACCAGAGGGGACTCTGCACGTTGGAAACCCCCTGGTGCCCCCTGCCAGCTCACAGCTCACAACCCACTGCTGCCCAGCCAGTGCCTAAAGAGGAGAAAGGCACTTTGGTGTGTCCCTGCTGGCCTCAGGAACGCTTGGGAGCAGCGGCAAGCTGAGCAAAGGTTTTCTGTGCTGGCTTCTCCAGAAGCCCTTTGGTCCCGGCCCTGGAGGGGGGCATCTCCCTGCAGCCCCAGTGCCCAGGGATGCCCACATGCCAGCGGAGCAGGAGCTCAGCCGGGCGGTGCCGTGCCAGCCCCGGCCCCTCACACTCAGGGGTGCACTCAGAGCCACTGTCACTGTGCCGGGTGCTGAGCCCCTCAGGGCCGCGGGGCCGCCCAGCAGCCGGACAGGCGCCGCAGCAGGCGCGCGAGGGCTCCCCAGCCCGGCTTACCTCTGCCCGGGGCCGGGCTGCCGCCGCCGCCCCCGGGGCTCTGCGGCACGGCCGGGGGCCTGGGGCTGCCCAGGGTGAAGCTGGGGGAGGCTCGGATCCGGGGGGAGTCCTGCCGGCTGCCCCCGCTGCCGGCAGCGCCGCTGCTGAAGCTCCTGGCGCGGGGCAGCGCGTGGTCAGAGGCCGAGGCGGGCAGCCCCCTGCAGGGGTGAGACACGGGGGTCAGCCCAGCACGGCGAGGGGGCTCCCCCCGCACCCTCCACCCACCCACCACAGCCCAGCAGCGAGGGCAGAGCCCTGGCAGAGCCCTGGCATCCTCCTCAGGAGCTGCTGGGGACAAGGATGTCACCAGGCCTGTCCCCGAGAGCCCCAGTGCCCTGCGCTGTGCAGCGCTGTCCCAGCAGCGCTGTCTCAGGGTTCCTCACCCCCCGTCCCAAACCAAGGAATTGCTGAGTTTGGAAAAGGCCTTTGGCACCGTGGTGTCCAAGCCTCCCCCAGCACTGCCCAGGCCACCACTAACCCTCCAGGGATGGGGCGTCTGCCCTGCCTGGGCAGCTGTGCTGGACAGCCCTTTCCAGGAGGGAATTGTTCCCAATACCCAGCCCGAACTTCCCCTGGCCCAGCCTGAGGCCATTTCCCCTTGTCCTGTCCCTGTTCCCTGGGAGCAGAGCCCGACCTGCTGTCAGGGAGCTGTGGGGAGGAAGAAGGTCCCACTGAGCCTCCTCTTCTGCAGGCTGAGCCCCTTCCCAGCTCCCTCAGGTCCCCCTGAGCCTCCTCTTCTGCAGGCTGAGCCCCGTCCCAGCTCCCTCAGCCTGTCCCAGCCCAGCCCAGTGCAGGACGTGATGCAGGAGAGACCTCCCAGCTTCCTGGGGCAGGCAAATCCCAACCAGCTCACTGCAGGGACCGACCCCCGCCGTTCCCGGGGCCGGGAAGAGCTGGGGCCAGGGCAGGTGACCCTGGCAGGCGACTCACTTGGGGACATTTATCATGTCTAAGTGCCGTTATCCTGCAGCTCCCACGCTCGCCCCAGCCAGCCCTTACGTGGAGCTCCTGGGGGGGGTCCTGGCACCTCCTCTCCGCCGCGGGCCCCCGGCGCTGCCGCGCAGCCCCCGCACGTGCTTCAGCATCCAGGCCCGCAGGTTGCCCAGGCACGCGTGCTCCGAGAGCACGATCCGCGGCCAGGGGTTGCACTCGGCCATGTCCAGGGCTGCCACCGCCAGCGCCCGGCCCACCTGCTTGGGATAGGGGACAGGTGAGGGGCGTGAGGGGGCAGCAGGGGGGGCACAAACACAGGGGACAGGTGAGGGGCGTGAGGGGGCAGCCGGGTGGGGCACAGGGTGAGAGGCACAGGTGAGGGGCATGAGGGGACAGCAGGGGGGGGCACAACCATAGGACACAGGTGAGGGGGCACCAGGACAGGAGGAACAGGACAGTGTGGGGCACAAGCAGAGGGCCCGGTGAGAAGGGGAGCACAGGAAGAGGGGAAGCATGGGGGAGAAAAGGAAGGATACAGTGGGGGGCACTGGGGAGGGGAGCAGCAGTGAGGGGCTCACAGGGACAGGAAGGCACCAGGAGAAGGGGGGCACGAGGGGAGATGAGAGCACCAGGAAGGAGGGATGCCAGGGAGGGAGAATGCCAGGGGGTGGGGGCACTGGGGAGAGGGGCAGCTCCCCAGAGCCCGGGACAGCAAAGCCCCAGCCCCCCTCGGGCTGTCACTCCCCCTGCAGGCTGCCCCGGCCCCGTACCTGCTCGAAGAGGTCCACGGTGTAGCGGGAGGGGAAGTTGGGCTGCGGCGGGGGGCTGGCACGGCCGTTGTCGTGGCAGGCCCCCGGGATGCTGTTCACCGAGCGCCCCGCGTTGTAGTTGCACTCCAGGGTGTAGCTGCGGGGCACGGGGGAGCCCTGTCACCCACAAACCCGCAGCTGGGCTGGGGTTATCCCGCATCATTGCCCTGGCAGGGCCTCTGCAGCAGGTTCAGGGCACTGGAAAGGGGGTCCCACTGCACCAGGGAGGGGGTCCTGCTCCAAAGGACACAGGAGTGCAGGG